TTTTCCACAATTTTGGTGGTGATACTTGCGGGTTTGATGATGATGATACTGATTTTGAGGACATCTTTTTTATTTGAGGAATAATTGTGGTTTTGATGAACTTAAAACTGTAGTGTTGTGATCATGTAAATGAATGATGGGTACAACGTAAAACAAATCAAAATATTTGTGATTAACTTCACTTGCCATAAACATAAACTTCTCAGAGGGAGAGGCATTATTTGAATGTATAATAATCTGAAAATTCTAATGAGGATCGTGTTATAATGCTTATATGGCACACCGGATTGCAGAAAGGGGAGAAAAAAATATTTTTGTCTCGTGTAAAATGTGCAGCTTTGGTTTGAAAATACTGTGATAAGATCACTTCTTACAGAAAACATTCATTTATGCTAGCACACTGTGCTTCCTACACAAATAACTCAAAACAAACTGAGGACCACTATAGAATTACTCAGTTGAGAATGTACAAACTATATACAGCACAGGCAACAGTTGCTATAAAACACCGTATATAATTCCACAAATTTCAAAACTCGAGAAGGCAATCTTACCGGCAACACTAACCAATGCTTCAAACACCACCAAGAAATCCTGCGCACTTCATTGTGATTCCCCCTCAGAGCTCATAAATCTCGTCTCAAAAGAAGCTATAAAAAGCATTAAAGAGCAGATGATAAATTCACCAAAGGAGCATAAGTCACCAAAGATAGGAAAACTCGAAATAAGTAGGCTTTGGAGTAGAAGGGCACCCTATCGACTGGATCAATTGGTCGACAGCCTGCAGTTGATACTTATGGGTCCCGTTGAGGGCAATATTGTGAACCTTGTGCTCATATATTTTTCCATCCCTGTCGAGCTTGTACTCTGAGGTACCGTCAAATCTGCTACGGCTCTCCCATGGGATACGCAAGATTCCATGCACGGTCCAACAGACCATTATCATGTTCTCTACGGGTTGCCACACGCTAACAATGTCAACCCAAAGACCGTGGAAATATCTTCCCGTGAAATCTCAATGCCCAGAAGATTGATTTATAGTTCTCGATTCCAGAAAATGTGTTGTGTGGATCCTTAAAGATTACATCATCCCTGTTCAAGAGAGAACAAATATGAAAGAGTTGAAACATTTTCTTTATAGCTGACAAGAGAAAGAACTAAAAAAAAAATGTGTTTCGTACCAGTAAACACTTCTCCAAGGATTCATTCACCCACAACCATAGATAGACCTTATTCACTCAAGAATTGACAATGAACTAAATATTACCATTAAAATATAATTTGAATTGCAGTGAAAGGATGTTTTCACGGACCTTCAGCAATAATATGAGAGACTTGTACATTAACCGTTTTATTTCAACATATACGATGGCAATTAACAACTGCAGGAAATTATTTCATTTCTATGTTGATATGAGATATGGAGGTTATGATGGATTAAGGTCTTTACTACTGTCAAATGCTATCAGTACAACAACTGAACCTAAGTTTCCATGTTTTAAACAAAGAGTGCCACTAAACATAATTTATATGAACCTGGTCTCCTCTTCATTATTCCCATCAGTGATTCATGATTGTCACCCAAACTACAGATCAAGATTCATAATTCATGAGCTCTATTAGCACTAAAATTTCAAGCGAACCATAGTATAAGGGCTCACGATCTATCATTCCAAACTTAGTACATTTTCATCAACAATTCCTGTAAGTAAAGCTGCACTCCAAATTTATGCCAAACCCATAAATAATCTACTTTAATCACTTAAAAAAAGGATGATTGCCAGCTGAAAAAATAGTATTTTTTTAAGTTCCAACCTATTTTTTGATCGTGTGTAAGTTAATCAGTATCAATATCCAGCAGAAGCTGCTCCAAATGTTTTCCAATATTCATATAACATGATACAAATTTGTGTTTTCAAATAAATTAGCACTTCCATCAAGTACCATCTTCTAAATCTAAACAACTCAATTTTAGCTTCCCTTGAAAACTACAATACATCTTCTTAGTTCTTACCTCATCAGTTCCCTCTATGAAATGGACACAATCCAATCAGATAAACTCAAACGCACAGAATTTGACATTTAATTATACTGAACAGAAAATTCTACCTGTAGATATCAAAGCTGAGCTCTCTGTAGAAAAGCTCTGGAAACTCCTCTCGGAGGGTCCGAATCGCGTACCCAGTATTCACGTAATAATCGTGCTTCTTCCCTTCCTCGTCCTTCCTCTTAACCGCAGAAAACGACGCCGTCTCGATCTCGCTCTGCTTCACTTGCTCGTACAGCCACCACTCACAGTATCCTCGTAGTTATCACAATCGACCCTCAATTTGAACACCTCCCTATCCACATCCCTAACGCCCGAGCAAACCCTAAACCTATATCTTCTTTTCCCGGTACGGAGACAGATTCTGGCCCGACGTTCGGCGCCGGCGAGAGATGAAATCCCCGGTGACGGAACTAAAAGCGCCATTGAATGGATATTTGTTGGGAAAAAGGAAGGATTTGAGGAGTTATTGTGCTAAACCCTTTGATCTCTTCGAACGGTCATGGAGTTTGAATTTTCTGTCGGGAGAGAGAGATTTTTGTTTGGTTGCAGGAAAAAAGTGGGAAAATCATTGTCGATGGATGATGGAGGATTAGTGGATAAGGATAATAATTATGAAATTATGAGAGGTTATATTAAACTAGTACGGCCACCTAGAGTTACACAAAAGGTGTAACATTAAAAAATAAAGTGTAATTCATATAAACAATGTTTCTATATTACTGAATATCTTTTTTTATATACAATGTTTAATATTTATTTATTATTTTTAGGGTTAATTGCCTTAAAAATCACGACCTTTTGTTAAATTGCAAAAAAAACTCAACCTTGTAATTTTAGCATAAAAAATACCAACCTTATTTAATTTTTGCAATTGTGTCTCAAACATAATATCCGGCTAAAACTTAATGACGTGGCCCGTCGGAAATATGACATGGCACACCCTTTCAATACATCCTGCCACCTCATCTGACTACTGTTTTTACACATCACTCCTAATCCACATCACCTTCCACGTAACACACCCTAATATAGATCGGTCCCTCATCTCTCTCCATTCTTACGCCGCTTCACAGAAAAAAAGAAAAAGAACGAACAGAGGAGCACGAGTTCTTCTCCCCACGAAGTCGTTCTTTTTTTCTCCTTCTTCTCAAAGATCTGCCTTTGTGCGCGAGTTCTTCTCCCATCGACGACGAGCTCGTTCTTTTTTTCTCCTTCTTCTCAAAGATCTGCCGATCGGCCGCACCTCTTCATTCTTCAACCAAAAGGTATGATATTCCTTCTCAATTTTCGAATTCCCCCGAAGGTGAGTTAAAAAATTGAACACTGAATTTGTTATTGTATGTGATTGTTGATGGGGTAATTGAAGGATGCGAATGCTTTGAAATTGCAAATTAAGGAAAGGGATGGTGTTTTAGGGTTTTATATGTGAGAAGGGGCGAAATTTATAAGGGAAATTGAAGGAGAAAGTGTAATTTACGTTGTTGTAGTCGCGACACGGGTCGAGACATGGTCAAGAAGCCCGTGTCGCGTCCGTGTCACAATCCTGGGCAGCCTTGTTTTCATTTTGTCGAAAAAGTTATTCAAGAAGGAGAAAAAAAGAACGAGCTCGTCGTCGAGGGAGAAGAACTCGCTGGTTCTCTTTTCTTTTATCTGTGATGTCAAGGAGAAGTGAGGGACCGATCTATATTAGGGTGTGTTACGTGGAAGGTGATGTGGATTAGGAGTGATGTGTAAAAACAGTAGTCAGCTGAGGTGGCGGGATGTATTGAAAGGGTGTGCCATGTCATATTTCCGACGGGCCACGTCATTAAATTTTGGCCGGAATTATGTTTGAGACACAATTGCAAAAATTAAATAAGGTTGATATTTTTTGTGCTAAAATGAAAAGGTTGAGTTTTTTTTGCAATTTAACAAAAGGTCGTGATTTTTAAGGCAATTAACCCTTATTTTTATCGTCACAAATTAATAATATATTTTATTTTATATTTATGACTCATGAAACAATAACATAAAACTATACATGAGTAAATACAGTGTTCTTCTAGTATACTCAAGACTCAAGTACGGCCTTAAGGTCAATAACTATATGATGATTGCAATTTACGTTTGTCTTACTCATGACTGAAAATCATTTCAAGTAAATTGTGCAACATTTGATTTAAAAATATATATTAATCAATTGTGAAAATATTTCAACTTCATATATTAAAAATAATTCAACTTATATGTATATATTATTATAATAAAACTAAATAAATAATAATTAAGGTAAGTTATGTCATATATTTGTTTAAAAATTTAATTAATGTAAATCATTGAACATGAACAAACAACATTAACAGGACATCAGGATTATTAAGTGCCTTTTTGTATATTTTTAATTTTATTTTATTTTGTGCTTAAATAAAAACCCACGTCAATTCTTTTGGACGGACTGAATACACAACAAAAAAGATAAGAAAAGGGCCCAATAAATCTTTGCGGTCAGCCCAACTGTTAATCAATGAACTATTTTTTTCGGACAAAATCAACGGCTGAAAATCACTCTCGAAGGCTATATAAATAATGGTTGTAGTTTGTAGGGTTTCTATTGGGTTAAAAATACTATTTCTAGTCCTTTTATTTTTTAGAAAAAATATAATAGTCCGTTGATATGGACCATATGGTTTTACTCAACAGATCTATGTTTACCAACTCTGATACATATATTTTAGTGCTTTTCACAAACATACTTGTAGATGTATGTTTTGAACATGTTTGTTTATTTTAAGCGAAACTTCTTATAGATCCATCAATATATTGAATTCTTCTTTCATTTACCGTTTTCTTTTTAAACAAATATTTCATGTCTAAGCATAATCTGAACATCATCTACTGTAGATTCAAAGATTCCCTTGATAAATTGATTTTCTTAAAATATTTTTTATTATCTGTTGCCTGATTGAATATGTTTTCCATAGTTTTATGGAGTATCATATATATCTGTTTTGGATTTTAATATCAATTGAGATTTGGTTTTCGTGTCAAAAACTAATTGGTCCTCATTACCCAATGCAACAGCACAAGTGTTACATTGTTGCGACATGTGATCGGGACTTTAAGCGAAGAATTCGTAAAGTACATAAGACTAAGTTTGGTTTGAATTATTTCTGCTATTAACATTAACTACAAGAAACACGTTTGAGATTTCCACTACTTGAGATTTATTTTTCTTCCTTAAATTTGTAAACACTACAGATTAACGTTTGAGATTTCCACTACTTGAGATTTATTTTCCTTCCTTAAATTTGTAAACACTACAGATTGAGCTAGATTGAGCTGGTATTCGTTGAATAAATTAAGCTCCAGGTTGAAGTATGTAAAAATGACATGTCTTCTTGTATCCTATCTTTCATTCACTAACACCAGTGTCAGCACAGGCTTCAAGTCTCAGACTTTAAGTCTCCCATAGTTTTGAATTTTAATAGCTTTCGATCGGAGCTCACAAATCTACTTGGTTTCCATCGACACGAAGTTATCATAATCCAAGTTTTCATAATAGTTTATAAGAATTGGTGATAGCTTGGACCAAGAGATCCAAAAGGCAAGGATTGGACTTTAGTACTTCTATATCATCGTCCCGCCGGTGGGATCTTTTCCTCCAACATACAGGCATGGTTCCAAGCATCCGCCACCTCTAATGTGATTGAATGAACCTAACATATCAACACATGTTTTGCTATAGATTTATCTGTTTTTCCTTTTGGTTTTCCTTCTATGTTACCACTTTCAAGTATTTGATAGCCTTAAATATTCTATTAGGGGTGGCCATATATAGAGGTTAAGCATGCTTAACGTAGAATTGTAAGCTTGTGAGACTTCAAGCATTGTGGCATCCACAATCATTGCATCTAAAGGGTAACTTTCTAATTCAAACTAGTTCTCTGGTTTGAATTAGAATGCATGAAGAAAACAAGCTAGGGAAATGGTTTGAATTATAACTTACCTGCTTATGATTGATTGAGGATGTCACTTGAAGTCTCACCAACTTATTGTTCCTTTGCTAAACAACTCTATATATATGGCTAGCCCCAACAGAATATTTAAGGTCATCAAAAGGAGTAACAAAGGAAAAACCATAAGAAAAAAGATAAATCTATTGCTAAGCACGTGTTTGTGTTGATGTTGGTTACGTGTTTCTCGGATGCTGCTAGGTTCCATTCAATCACATTAAAGGTTGCAGATGCTTGGAATCTTCTCTGTGTGTTGGAGGAGAACATCCGGCGGGACAAAGTTTGCAATCATGATATAGAAGTACTAAAGCTCAAACCTATCTTTTGAATCTCGTGACATCATGGTTCAAGTTATCATGCGTTCTTATAAACTATTATGAAAACTTGGATGATGATAACTTCATAAATTCAGATAAACTATTATGAAAACTTGGATGATGATAACTTCATAAATCCAGATATTTGCGGGTTCATAAAACTTGGATGGAAACCAAGTAGATTTGTGGGCTTGGATAACTACTGGGCGAAAGATAATAAAACTATGAGACTTGAAGTCTGTGCTGGCACTGGTGTTAGTGAATGAAAGATGGATAGAAGAAGGTGAAAGTTCTACAAGAAGAAGACTATTGAGGAGTGGCGAAGCATGGTTTGCCTTATAGGAGTTTGTCATTCTTTGAGGCCAATGTGTCAACATTGAGGACTGCGGCTCGGGATATGTCTTCGCCGGTGCTAAAGAATTTGTTGCGGGAAGCTATCAACACTCATGGGTGATGGTTTTTTATTTGTATGTTTTGTTGTGAGTTGTTCTTTCCACTAGGATATTCAATTTTGGTGGTGATACTTGCGGGTTTGATGATGATACTGAGCTTGAGAACATCTTTTCTATTTGAGGAATAATTGTGCTTTTGATGAAACTTAAAACGTAGTGTTGTGACCATGTAAATGAATGATGGCTACAACAATGTAAAACAAATCAAATTACTTGTGATTAAGTTTACTTGTCATAATAAGAAAGAAAATATACATAAACTTCTAAGAGGCATTATTTGAATCCAAAATAATCTGAAAATTCTAACAAGGATCGTGTTATCATTACCTGGCACTCTGAATTGCAGAAAAAGGAAAACATATATTTGTCTTGTGTAAAAAGTGCAACTTTGGTTTGAAAATACAGTGATAAGATCACTTAAAGAAAATATCCATTTAATAGTTCTATCATCTGCTTCTTATTCTTGTCATTTATCGTCACTCAGTTGAGAAGATAATACTCAAACGTTTAATTTATGTGGCGTTTTCTGTTTTCTTAGTGGTTGTAACTGACCTTCTTGTTCTTTCATTGTTATGTTTTGTACCAGCTAACACCTCTTGATATGGGAGGAAGCTTTCAAGTATATTATGTTTTTTCATGATGCGTCTACCTCTCGTAACTTTGCTTTTATGTCCATTTTCTAAGTGAATTTACAATATTCTGCCGTTGGATCTAGAGAAAGGGATGATGGACTGCTTATATGCGAAATGTAAGTTGCAAATGTTCACACAACTGTTTATATACTATCTGTGAAAACAACAGAAGTAAAAAATTGCTATGTCCACCCGCAACTGCTCCTTCCCTACACCGGGTCATTTTTTTGAGATTTACTTGTATGTGTGCGTGTGTGCCTTTTAAGCTTCAACCCTTAAAGAAAGGTTTTCAGTATTTTGAATAAACATAATGTGTTGTCCTTTTGTTCTTCTAAAATTGCACTTGTTTTGTGTCATTCTTTTCTCTCTCTCTCTCTCTCTCTCTCAATTCGCAGGTACTCCTTGCATCACACTGTGTTATGGCTGAGCTCGAGAAGTTAGGTAGTGTTGCTTTGAGGCAAGTTCCCATTGTCACCTCTTTTCTTTTTTCTAATTTTCCTATTCTCATCTTAAATTGTTCTAATCTTTTTACCCATTTTATGGAAAATACTGCTCAAAACGATGTTTGATGTGCACTGCACTTCGTGAATTATAATTTACCTAACAATTTAGGTTTGCAATGTGATTTATTCTCATGGAGCCAATTATGTTCTGCAGCTAGAACTTTCCTTTTTTTTTTTTATGATTTTTCTTTCTTATATCAACAGAATTGCATAGGATCCTCGTTTTGAGAGGCTTGCATGTACTCACAAGGGAACTTATGCTGATGATTGTCTTGTTGATAGAGTTACACAAGTAAAAAATTATTGATATTTAGCTCACTTTACAAAGTCTATACCCCGGGAATTAAT